AAAAAGCTAAAGGAGTTCATCACCACCAAACCAGTATTATATGAAATGGTGAAAGGTATCCTTTAAGAAGAGGAGGAAGAAGAAAAGGGTAAAGATAAAAATTATGGACAACAAATACATATCTATCAACAAGTGAATCTAAAAATCAAGTGAATAAAAAATCTGATGAACAGAATAAACTAGTGAATATAATAGAATCAGGGGCATAGAAAGGGAGTGGACTGACAATTCTTGGGGCGAAGCGGGTGTGGGGGGTGCGGGAAGAGATTGGACAACAATTTTATACCTATAGACGGACGAGGACAGTGGTGGGAATAAGGGCATGGGGTGGGGTGGGAACTGGGTGGATGGGAGCTATGGGGGGCAAAAAGAGGAACAACTGTAATAATCTGAACAATAAAGATTAAAAAAAAGAAATAATTGTATTGCATATAGTTATTCATAAATTTATTCTAAAGCATTTTTTAGGTGTTAACTTTTTAGCAGGCATCATGCTATGAACTAGGTATATTAATTTGAATAAAATACAATCCTTGTACCCCTGAGGAGCTCAAATCATAATGAAGGATACAGATGTGTAAACAAAAGGATACCATGTTAAATGAAGAGGTAAATACAAAGGAGTAAATAGCTAACTTTATACAGGGGGTGAAGTTAAGAAAGCACTTACAGCCAAAGAGATTATTATTTGAGTAGTGAGTGGAGTTTGCCATGCAGAAGAGAGAGAAGACATTTCCAAAAGAGAGAACAAAGGGGTTGAAATAAGTTTGGGCTATTGAGAGAACACAGGAGTTAGAACATATGAGAAAAATCAGTTTCCTGATCAGAGTATCTTAGTATTAGTACTGGAATTAACCTAACTTTACAGTAAACTGTGATAGTAATCAGACTCAAATTTCAATCATAAAGAAGCATAAGAGCTGATTATAAGAGGGAATTTAAATAGCTGGAATTATTTTGATAAGTCCTAACATAGTTACTCTTTTCTCTTTGAGCCATGATTTCCTTATCCATTAAATTTGATTAGATGAGATACTATCTTAAATGTCTTCAAGTTTTAACATTGTTTGATTTTATATTTTTAAAGGTATTAAGATAACCTACCTTCTGCAAATGTTACTGTCACAGTCTCTCTGAGAATATTCCCACTGTCTGTAGTCCACTGAAGCTAAAAAGGGAACATTCACTTCAGTAGAATATTAAAAAATATTTTAAAACAGCAATACAACTGTCATATTCCGTCATAGTATAATTATGTTTTATTCTGTAATTATTCTCTTCACTTGTTTATATTCTCAAAGCACAAGTATACTTCATTAACTAAATGCATTAGCTTCCCAAGTTCAGATAGCAGGACTTTGGTTAGAAAGTGTAGGTGGCAAAGACCATTGCTAACCAAATCTGTTTTCATTCCTGAATTTGGGATAAAGAATAATTAAGAGTTTTGAATAGCAAAGACTAGTAGCTATAGCTTTAAAAAAAAATCTGAATCTATTAATCTATTCAGTTACTGAATTTGGATAGTAAAAATGTGGAGAACAAAGAATACTGTTGCTGATATTTTAATGCCATAATCACTACCTGCATTACAATGACTAGTTTCTGGGTAATTATATTAATCTCTTCAGAGCAGGAAAAATTTTCATAGAAATTACCAATATTCAGAGGGAAACTATCACAGTATGAAGTAACATTAACCCTTTTCGGTCCAACGTCGAGGCTGACTCGACAGACCAGGTGCTAGGAGCAGGTCCAATGTCGAGGCTGAGGTTGACACCGCAAACCGGTTCAACGTTCAATCCCGTCAATTAATTTGGACCAGACTATTTGAATTCCAAAAATAAAATCGGACCACAAAGGGTTAATATCCATAGGTGGAATATAGAACATTATTACTTTGTTTATTCAAGTGTGAACTATTCTATTTAAATTTACCCATCTACTTAAAGAGGGGAAAATATACATAGCATGTAATCAATAACTGTCTGTTGAATGAATAAGGTATACTTTTTACAGAGATAAACTATGCTGATTTTAAAATAAAGATTACTATTACTATTATTATAGTCAGAGTTGGATATTCACTGGTTTTTCTTCTTGTGAAAGCAAAAAACAGATTTAGTTAAATCATCATTTAAGAGTTCACAGTATTTATGTTTTAAGAAAAATACCCCTATTTTCTCTTATATCATAGTTACTTACATGGCCTAATTGCAATCATCCCTATTAGTCCAAATAGTAATGGAGGCTGAGAAAGATTATGTAATAAAACAAGGAATTACAGTTGTAATCATACCGTTGCTGGAATAATCTCTGAGTTAGATACATTATCTCCATTTCTCAAGGATTTCTGTACTTCATGGATGTGATTTTTTATATCATTTACAGTTGGAAAAAAGGATAAATTATGTCTTTCAGGTACCTCATCAGATTTGAACAGTTCTCTTTCCACAAATTTTCTGTAGATAATATAAAATAGAATAAAACATAATCTAGCGATTTACTTTAGATCACATGAGAGAAGGTTCTCTTTTTAGCATAAACTAGTATAAAACATGGTTTATAGCTTTATAAGTACTTTAACTTTTTCCATTTTCATTTCCCTACCTTAAATCATAGAATTCATGTGATTAAAGAAATGTAATATTTACATTGGTTAAACAACTGTATATCTTAGAGTGAGCTTTACATTTTTATGATTTAAAGGAATCACTATTTTCAATTTAAGGATGTTTTTGAATGCCTACTAGGTCAGGCACTGCACTGTACACTTCACATCAAGTATCTACTCAAACCCTTAATATAATCCTTTGCATTCCCACTTTATGGATAAGGAAACTGATAGGTTGCAGAAGTAATCTGCCCCAAATTGTACACTTACCTAGTAAGTAAGAGAGCTTGGGCTCTCACTCAGATTATTTGCATAAATATCATGTTATGTTGCTTCTAAAAGGCATCAATTAATATCATATAAAATATGATCTCCTTGCATTTTACAAGTAGACAAAACAGAAGATAGAAATAGAAGGCAGTATTGCCATATAATTATATAAAAATAGATAGATAAAAGAAATTAATATATAAAATTTTGTGCATTACATTAGGTAGACCATATCGCAGAGCTGTATTATACCTCTGTTCTTAAAATACAGGTTTAGTAAATAGTGGATTGCTTTACCAAGTTCTGGTTCTAGTCTAACAATGCCTCAATGAAAATAAATATAAAATGTCTAAGAAATCTGCTAAATAATAAAGTAATGTATTAATTAAGGAATAATCCTAGAAAATACTCATTAGGTTATTCGGATCAGACTACACAACAATGAGTACAAACAGGTCAATTAAGTACAAGAAATCATAGCAAAGACTACAGGCTGTAGATTCAGACCTAAGTTGCAGTTCTGCCTCTATCTCTTAAGCTAGTTATTTAACCATTTTCTCATCTGCAGAATGAGAAAAAATATACCAATTTTATAGTAGTAAGAATAAACAAGTTCATGCATGTCATGTATATAGCATAACACCTGGCACACACATGGTAAGTGCCACATGACAATAATAGTTACTAGTAATTATTATATCCTGAGTATCAATAAAATTAGACCAGAGTGCTACATATAAAATTTCATTAGACAAAGAACTATCCATATTCTTCTGCTGTAATAAAATATATTATATTTCAAATAGCTTAAAATAAGTACCTTGACCTAGAGGTTTTAAAATCTTTGGTTCTATACTTAAATGTTACACTCAAAACCATAAAAATCCTACAAGAAAACATAGTCAGTAAAATCTAGTATCTTTCTTATAGCAGTATTTTTTTCTGATCTATCCCCTCAGGCAAGGAAAAATAAAAATACAAAATAAACAAATGAGATTAAATCAACTAAAATGTTTTTGCACAGTAAAGGTAACCATCAATAAAATGAAAAGACAACTCACTGAATGGGAGAACACATTTGCCAATACATCTGATTAGGGGTTAATGACACAATTTATAAAGATCTTATAAAACTCAACATCAGAAAAACAAATAAATAAGTTAAATAAAAAATGGGAAAATGACCTGAATAGATACTTCTTCAAAGCAGACATACCGATGGCCAATAGACAAGTGAAAAGATGCTCAATGTCACTAATTATCAGAGAAACGCAAATTAAAACCACAATAAGATATCACCTCACACCTATCAGAATGGCTAACATCAATAAGTTAACAAATAACAAGTATTGGTTGGTATGCTGAGAAAGGGGAACCCTCATGCACTGTTGGTGGGAATGCAGATTGGTGAAGCCACTGTGGAAAGCACTCTAATGGCATATTTACTGAAAATTTCTATAATATTAAGTGTATTACTTAAATCAACAAAAAATGAAAAACATATTCAAGCAATTTGTTTCTACTATACCTTAGATGTTTCCTTACTGCATACACTTGTTCTATTCCTTGTGATACTAATTCTTGAATCTTATGTGCTACTTGAGGATGTAGACGAGAGGGTAATGTACAATTCTCATCCCTAATTGCAGTTTCCTCTTCTTCCATAGAGGACACAGGAAAAGGGGAAGGTGACAAAGGGAGGGAGGGAGTCTCCAATTCGTGATACTGATGAGCTTGCTGTGTAGGTAACTGTACATACCACCTGACAAAAGAAAATTTTAAAATTATATTACTAGACAAAGGCAAGAATCATAATTACATCTGTTAATACTTATCAAGAGAAGGAATAATCCTTTATGAAAAAATTATATATTATTATATCATATTAAACATAAATTTAAATTGCCCTCTGCTTAACTTTTCTAAGATTGGTTTTAAACCCAATTACATAAAAATCTTTTTTTTTTTTAACAGACTTTTTACTATGGCCCTAAAGTTAAGGAAGGCACAGGATTTAAATATATATGAAAATGGCATTTTAAATCTCCTATTAAGTAAATTTCACCTCAAAATAATGAGACTTTTTATAACATCATCTTTTGAATTGTGTACTTTCCCACTCGTCTACCATTTTGTCCCCAGATTACAACCCCTGTGTTGCACCTATTATTCTTCCAACCAAAAAGTGGACACAAGATTGAGCTATGTGGGAGAACTGTCTCTGACAGGAGCTCAACAAACTGCCTGTACAGCATTCCAGCTCCTGTTACCCAATGAATAAGACTAAAAGGTCGCTCATACAATAGTGCAGTGCACAAAACAAATGCTAAGAAAATGAAACAATCTGGTAGGATACTGTTTTAATTGATATATCTGTACAAAATGTTTGCAATGACTGATATTGCATAAAATGGAGCCTACTTAATTAAAAGTTATATGCAATGTTCTCCAAACTGAAGGATCTAATTATTGAGTTTATTTATTTTTCATACATCTGAAAGTTTTTTTAAAGATCATACAAAAACTATGACCCATACCCTTGACCCCATTTTACAATTGCAAATTCTAGACTGATACAAAAAAGAAAACTAATATTTCTTCTTATTTAAGACCTTAGGGAGCCAAATATGAGGGCAGAAGATGATTTTACTTTGAGTGGTGAGCACATAGTGTAATATACATATCAAGTATCACAGAAAACTCCACTTGAAATCTATATAATTATATTAACCAATGTCACACAATAAATTTACTAAAAAATTAAACTTAAAAAATTTTAAAACCTTAGTATAAAAGATATAAAACAGAATTTTAGGGCTTAGGATTCATTTCTGGCTGCCACAAGTAATCAAAGGTGGGTTAAAAAAATATTCAAGTAACTACAAGTTTGGCTCCTAGTAAGTATCTAAAACAAAGTACTAAATACAGTATATAGTGAAATGTGTTGCTAAAAATGTATTTGTCATTTTGGAAAAAAACTTCCTTATGGTATACAGAATTGTTTGGTAAAATTTAGCCATGATATCTGGCTGATAAACTCAATGGCTTATACCAGGGGTGGGGAACATATGGCCTGCAGGCCATAAAAGGCCCACGAAATCATTTGGTCTGGCCCTGCCAAGACATTAGGGGTGAGTTAATTAAATGTTTGACCAAATATAGCAGGCTAATTTTTTTCTTTGTTTTTCTTTTTTAAAATTTATCTTTATTGTTGAAAGTATTACATATGTCCCCTTTGTTTGTTCATGTTTCTTCCCCATTGATCGCCTCCACCCCACCCTCACCCCCACCCAAGCCTTCACCACTCTATTGTCTGTATCCATGGGCTATGCATATATGCATATACTAGTAAATTCTCTAGCAGGCTAATTTTTAAGTTGATAATTTTGTATGGCCTGCAAATGATGTTATAAATATCCAAATGATCCTTAGCAGAAAAAAGGTTCCTCACCTCTGGCTTATACAGTGTCAAATCATTTTAATACTTAGGGAACTACTAGTGAGGCATCCACCTTATAAAAACCGTTAATAAAATAACTGGAAACCATAATTATTATTTCTCTTACAGAAGGAATTCTTGCAAATGGAGCTAATTAATTTATAAAATAAAATATCATCATATAAATGTCATACCTAAAAACACCACCAGCATCTACCAAGTTCTTCTTTAGCACGTTAAAGGCTTTCTCTTGCTCCATTCGTATAATTTTCTTATCAATTTTGGGGTCTGTAGGAACTCTATATTCAGGAAACTTTTGTACCTTTTTAATGTAAATTCTTTTAATAAGAAAAAAGAGAATTTTTTATTATATTGAAATCTCAAGAAAACCTAATTTATCAACCAGAAGTTTATTTGAAGCATTAAAATTTAGAAAAAATTCAATTATTCTAGAAAGCATTCAGAGGATTATGTGAAAGACATGCTATATTCTCAGTGCTTCATAATACTTAGCAAATTAACAATAATCATAATTTCAGTAAAAATACCTAAATACTTCTGGATATTAGCTTTTTTTTTTTCTTCTGGATTTGCCACTTATTCATTCTTCTGGAAGCCATCATTACCTCATACCAGGATTACTTTACTAGCCTCCTTCTGGCCTCTGGACATTCAGTCTTTCATTACTTAAATCTACTTGATACATAAATGCCACAATAATTCTTCACATTTGCACTTCTCTACTAAAGAATCTATCTGCTCTTTAATGAAATAAAATTTCTTAGCAGCATTCAAGGCATTCCATATGATTCTAGCTTTTTACCTAGTCAGTCTCTCTCTCTCTCTCTCTCTCTCTCTCGAGGGAGAGGGGGAGAGAGAAACATTAATGATGAGAATCACTGACCAGCTGCCTCCTGCACGCCCTCTACTGGGGATCAAGCCCACAACCCATGCATGTGCCCTTGACTGGAATTGAACCCAGGACCCTTCAGTCTGCAGGCTGACACTCTATCCAGTGAGCCAAACCAGCTAAGGCACTTTTTACCTAATCTTACTTTCAATTACCTCAAATATAAAATTGCTTTTCCTATGAAGGTTATATCATTTCAATGGAGAAATCATCCTTCTTCCTCTAATACTAGTAGCAAATATACAATCATGCCTATCTTTATTTATATAGTCCTCTTAGCCTACAATTTATTTCCTTTAACTCTCTACCTATCCAAATTCAATCTAAACCTCAGCACCCAGGCTTTCCATACTTTCTGTCCTATTAATGTGTTTGCATGGTTATATTCTCTCTCTGAAGATAGTTAGCTAATCCATACTATATACTATTATGTTCTCTAAAGGTGTTGTTTACTGATCTACTCCAACAATATTTTAAGTTCTCCATGATTAAGGAAAATCTTTTTTTTTTTAAATATATTTCTTTATTGGTTTCAGAGAGGAAGGGAGAAGGAGAGAGATAGATAGAAACATCAATGATGAGAGAGAATCATTGATTGGTTGCCTCCTGCACGCACCCCACTGGAGATTGAGCCTGCAACCCAGGCATGTGCCCTTGGCCGGAATCGAACCTGGGACCCTTCAGTCCGCAGGCTGACGCTCTATCCACTGAGCCAAGCCGGCTAGGGTGATTAAGAAAAATCTTATAGCTGTTTTAGTCTCCCTACTCCCCATGGCACCCAAACGTAGTTGCTGGGCACAGAGTAGATACTTAGGAAGTACTTATAGAAAAACAGAGAATAAAATTATTTCTTCACATATAGAAATTTTTCTCCCAAGTTACATGTAAAGTTTTAGATCTATTACCCTATGTAAAAATCAGCTGAAAATTTACAAGTCTAATTAAGTAAATGATAATTTATCTATAAATAGACTATTATATGGCTATTAAAAAGAAGGAGCCATGAAACTAATATGTTATATGTAAATTATATCTCAATTTTAAAAGTAAACTTAAAAAAATTTTTAAAGAAATAACCAGTGCTTTTATATACAGTCATGGCAGTTTTCAGATATATTTGGAATCAAGAAAAGCAAAGTATATAGTAGTATATATCATTACATTCAAACTAGTCTGAAGCATAATAGCTGTACAGTAAACAATCACAATAGGCATTCAGAATGAAAATAAATCAATGTGAATTTATAGAAGGAAAGAAGGTCCACTCCTACCTAACTTTAAAAAAAGATAATATTAGTAAGCTTTACTGAGCCATTTATGAGAGTAAAGGAGAATAAATATATACACACACACACACACACACACACACACACATATGAAAGTAAAGGAGAATATATATGCATATGAATATACACACACACACACACACACACATATATATGTATATATATATTCATATACACAGAATAACTTTGGAAGGTTATTCAAGAAACTGGTAAGAGTTGCTGCTTTAAAGAGGGACAAGGGAGCAAGGGTAAGAAGAAAGTCAGATTTCACTGTATATTTTTTGGAGCTGCTAAAACATTAAAAAGTGAATATTAGCTATTCAAAAATAAGTACTTAATAAGAAAGAAATAAAAAGAAATGAAAGCTTACCGGGCTGGACAAGTGGCTTTGTAGAGGTGACAAGGCCTGCTTTCCTGCTCACTGATCTTTTTTAACTGGAAACCTCTTCTCCTTGGCCCATACTGACACTCCATTACCACGGCTCTACTCCCTGTGGGCCAAGACCAACTACTGCTATTATATCAAGTATCTATCCATTCTGGATACTAGATTAAAAATAACTTGGTGGTGGCTATATCAAAATCTATACTTCGTTACACAACTTTAAGGAAAGAATACAGCAATACGACTTATTAAAATAAAGTGTACAAATAAATTTAAAAGTTGATTGTAATATTTAGCAAACGTACCACATTATGTTAAGTAAATGAGTAAATACTACATTTACTGAATGTCAACTGGTATTTACAACATACATATGATTTTAATAAAATTTACCATTTTATAAATAGAAATTAGTACATGCTGTATTTGTGAACAAATAATGTCATTTAAAATTATATTTCCTTTTATAATTACTTATTTCCTTTTTTCTATTTGGGCTGTTAGAATAATGTGATAACCAGTCACTAAGATGGCCCCCAATGATCCCTGCCTCCTAGTTCTCATGTCCTTGTGTGATTCCCTCCCCTTGACCATGGGCTAGACTTACTAACTTCCAATGAACATAGCTGAATTGACAGGACGTTATTTCTTATATTAGGTTATTTAAAAAGTCTGTGACTTCCGTCTTGAATACTCTCTTGCTTGGATTGCTCTCTCTGGGAAAAATCAGCGTCACGTAGCGAGGCAGCTCTGTGTAGAGGCAGCTCTTGTGGCAAGGAATAAGGTCTGCTACCAGCTGCATGCGTGAGCTTGGAAGCAGATCCCCCCAGGCACCCACGAGATGACTGCAGCTCCAGCCCACACCTTCACTGCAGTCTTGTGAGAGAACCTAAGGCAGAACCAACTGCTAAGCCATTCTTGGACGACTGACCCCCAGAAACTGTGAGGTAAAAAATGCTTGTTGTTTTCAGCCTGAAGTGTGGGGTACTTTGTTACACAGTAATAGATAATACAAATAAGTAGATGTAAAAACTATACAGTTAAGATTTTAAGTTGAATATCCTATTCTAGGGTACAGCAAACTTCCAAAATATAAAAACAAAAATGCAAATCATAAATTAAAATGCTGATAAAGCTGACATTAAAATGTAAAACCTGTATTTAAAAGGCACCATAAATAAAGGTAAAGTAAAAACAACAGTTTGAAAAACAGTATTTAATAAGACATAACAAAAGATTAAAATGCAGAATATGAAGAACCATAAATAATTTTTTTAAATAAAGAAACAATCAAACAGAAAAATGGGCAAGGGCTAAGAACAGGCAATTCAGAAAGAAAAAGGATATCAAACTAACAAACAAAAAGATGTTCAACTTCACTAGTAAAGAGGGAAATACAAATTGAAACAATAGTAAAATACTATCTCACATTCCTCAAATGGCAAAAATTGACAATAATCTAAAAAAACTGACTCTACTGATCAAGTTAACATCACTAAAAGGTGCGACACATAGGTAGCAATAAGGAGGCAGAACTTATGAAGTATTCTTGAAAAAAATACTTTTATGAAAATTGAATCTTCACTTAATTAAGCCTCTAAATCTAACAGTTTATAGGAAGTAGATGAGATAAAAGGACATGTTAAATCACACCACAGAGATAGAACCAGCAAAATCCAGAATATGGCAAACTCTACAGAACAAACTATCTGAGGGGAAACAGGATAGAAATTTTTAGATAAAAATAAATATAAGATATATGTTAACCAAATATAATCTTTGACCTCTGTTTGGATGTGAATCTGAACAAACTTATGGAAAAAAGAATTGAGATAAATGGAAGAATGGAAACATTGGACATTTTATGACATTAAGAAATTACTGGTAATTCTTTTAAAGCATGATAATGGGATTCTCCATATACATATATACTAGAGGCCTGATGCATGAAATTTGTGCAAGAGTAGGCCCTCGCAGCCCCGGCTTTGTCTGGAAGGTCGTCCGGAAGGTCATTCTGCTGTTCGGCCATCCAGTCTGATTAGCATATTAGCTCTTTATTATATAGGATATATACATATATATATACACATATACATATATATATATATATATATGTAGAGAGAAAGAGAGGAAGAGTCCTTATCTTTTAGAGACATATACTTTAGTATATACTATATACCAGGAGATCTCAAACTTTTTAAACTTCTTCCTTAGTGTGACTATCCATAAAATATTACTGTTTGACTAGTGAGAAAACCTGAAGTCATTTTCAAGGTCCACCATTTCTTCTTTTCAGGCGGGTCAAGTGTCTAAGCTTTCTAAATCTCTGTTTTCTGGGTAATGAAAAGAGAATAAGATTCCACTGAGTCTCCTATCTACCTACTCCAGGACTTCTGTGAGGATCAAATGAGATGAGGCATGGGAAAACGCTTCACAGACATTTGGTTAAAGTGTACTGGCTATGAAGCAAGTTGTGTTCCTGGGCTGAAGAAACTCCAAGGAGGCTAGTAGTCACTAGGGAGAGGAAGCTGGGCGTTGCCACATGATGTCATTACCTGGCGCCCACGGCTACCGTTTCTGGGCTGGGCTGGGCCGCATTTTGCGCCACGGCAGCATGGGCTGTGACTTGGTGGGCTGTCGCTCCGGGGTGGTGGTGGGGCCCGAGTCCCACTTGGGGGAAGCCGAGTGTTGCTTTGTCGGCACCAGGTCCACGGCTGCCATTTCTTTGTAAATGGCCAGTGCACATCACGGCAGCTCCTGCATTGAGCGTCTGCCCCCTGGTGGTCAGTGAGTGTCATATCAACCCGTCGGATGGACAGAGGAACACTTAGCATATTAGCCTTTTATATAGAGACCCAACACGGGTGGGGCCATGCGGGGGGAGGGGCTGCGGGCGGTTGGGGGTGCCTATTGGGGTCGGTTGGCCGCTGCTGTGCACATTATAGCGACCGGTCATTCCAGTCTTTCCAGTTGCTTGGCTTTTATATATATAGATTGTCTACAGAATACATGCTAGAAGTATTTTGTAACATTACATTATTATAGTCCAAAAATTCAAACTTCTAAAACACATGTGGCCAAAAACAATTGAGAGAAGGAATTTTTGAACTTATACAACCACTTTAGTGAACAACTTGTGAGAATCTTGTAAAGATGAAATGGGCATAAGTCACAACTCAGTAATTCCACTTTAACACGTAATTACATCTTTTCTACGAAAATGTATATTGTGGAGGTCTGACTATAGCATTTGTAATATTGAAAAGCTGGAGACCTGAATGATTATTTATAGAAAAGTAATTGTGTTTTGGTCATATGCTGGACTGTTATATAATAACTAAGTTGAGTTAACTGGGATCTATAAGTATCAATATGGATAGATTTCAAAATAAGGGTGAGTGAAAAATGTACATAATAATGTCTACAGTTTACTATTTATATATATTTTTTAAATATTCAAAACAACAAAATATATAATCATAGATACAAACATGTATGGTAAAGTATAAAAACAGACTTGAAAGATACACACCAAATTCACGTAGTGGCTACTTGTGAAGAGTTAAAAAGGAATTAGAACTAGGGTAGTGGAAAATGTTGCATTTCTTTTGTACAATACTGATAAACCTGGGCACAAGCTACATTTATCTTATCTTCCTCTAAGTATTTCTTTTTACCCTCAGAGGTCCAGGATGAGGCTGCAACTCTTCCAGCTGGATCAGTACCCACATAGTCCTGGAATAAATCACTTATTTTTAGGTTCTGTGGGATCTGACTGGTCTTAGGGTAAATCTCTGGGAATTGTCTGAAACTCTACTGCTCTAGTAAACACTAGTGTTTGAGAATACTGTATATAATGCATCTGATGCTTGAGAACCCTGATATTAAAATTCTATATAACCCTTGATTATACACAATTCTATATAGTAACTCAAGACTTATAGGTTATATAAAATGGACATAAATTTGTACCACAAGACAAATCAAAAGAGGAGAGAATATCTGGAGATTGGATAAAAAAACAAAAACAAAACACAAGAGATATATATATTTAAGATAATAAAATTGCTTACTGTTTAATTTCTATTAAAGAGGTGTACCTGGAATTTCAATATTATTTTTTATTTTCAGCATAATATCAAAAGGAAGCATGATTTATTGAATATATTAAAATGCAATTTTACAAATATTGGTTATGTTTATTTTAAGTATTCTTTTTAGTTTAATATACATTTTTATCAATTAACATTTAGTTATCATCTACCAAAATGAAAACCACAGTTTCAGAATGGATCATGGCTACTGCTGAACCTTTTAAAATATTTCTTTTAAAAAGTACCTGTATTGACAAATGGAATTCCATCATATGGGACATACTGGGATTTCCACATCAAACGTGTAGCTGGCTTGGCTGGGCTTGGAGATTGGCGAGTTCCCCAAACACTCTGTGTTTGCTGCTTGTGAAATGTTAAAACACTTTCTAATTCAGTCTCACTTACACAGTAGCCCCGGTATGAATCTCCAATTTTCTGCATGTAGTAAAATTAAATAACAAAATTATTAGCAAATATATTTCATTGTACAAAAAATTTAATGAGGTGATTGTCCAAGATAAAAGACTCATCAGCTCTCAAAAGACAATGTGATTTCTCCTTCAGATCAATGGTCTACTACAACCAGCAGACCTGGTCTGAATTCAACTAGCGTCATCAAATAGATACTGTCCAGGTATTTGTTAGAGAATGCCAAACTCACTGCCACATTGACTTTATCAAAATCTTGTTAGAGACAAATAATCTTTAAGGAAAATAGCTTGAAGAATATATCATGTATCCATTATTCCATATACTTAAAATTCTCCCCCCATATCCAACCAAATCAGCATAAAACTAGCCACACGGTACTGGTTCCCTGTGGAGCTTCTTTAATGAAACTGATTTTGATATTATGCCATGAATCTGTTTGAAAACCTATGAAAACTGTGATGTATCTTATTTAAAAATGATGTCAAAGAATTTGTTCATTATATCAGCATTCTTTTCATGAAGACCCTTCTCTGGAATTCCTGTCTGACCTTAAGTGCCAAAAATAAGTAATGGGTTTTTCTTTTTCTTAGCTTGTGGAAATTAGCATAAATACTTTTATCTACTGGACACAGAATTTACTAATTAACTTGGTTTCCCCTTTTGAATATAGATGCTTAGAATATAGACAAGTATATATATGTCTCTGTATGTATATACACTCAACACAATATACATATAATGTATTATAGAATTGTATACCTAAAACATATAATTTTATTAATCAATGTCATTCAATAAATTCAATAAAATGAAATAAAAAAAGAAGAAACTGGTGATATATATTTGGGGATTTTTATAAAAGTGATAGCTGAAAGTCAACAAAGTTGATAAGCTGTACAAGGGATAAAACGTAGAGAAATAAAATAAGGTCAAACAGTGAACTTTGAAGAATTTCCACTGAGAAGATGAAAATAAATAAGCACAAGCAAAGAAAGAGAAGGAATGGTCAAAAGATCAAAAGCAGAGAAAAATGATGGTAGCTGATCAATGATTCTCTCTCATCATTGATGTTTCTCTCTCTTTCTCCTTTTCCCTTTCTAAAATCTATAAAAGTATATATATATTAAAAAACCATGTTTATATTTTCATGAAAGACAAGGGAAGAAATGATAGTGAAGTGAGAAGATTTATATTATCTCTACTTTAATTGATCATACAAACTCTAAGGAATAAAAGAATAGATGAGAGATACAGCCTCTGTTAGTCGTTTTCAAAAGTAGACATTTTGGGCCCTAGCTGGTTTGGCTCAGTGCATAGAGCATCGGCGTGCAGACTGAAGCATCACCGATTTGATTCCAGTCAAGGGCACGTACTTCAGCTGCAGGTTCAATCCCTGGCCCGGTCAGGGTGCATGCAGGAGGCAACCAATCGATGTGTCTCTCACATGGGTGTTTCTCTCTCTCTATCTCTCCCCCTCCCTTCCACTCTCTCTAAAAATCAATGGAAAAATACCATCCGTTGAGGATTAAGAAACAAAAAAAGGTGGACATTTTGGGATGAATTGTAATTCATTAAGTGAATCTAGGTAAGGGTTGTTTTTAACTCACCTCACAACTCCTAAGACGGCAGGCCCATATAGGTGTGTTAGAAGAAAGTGGCTGGAGAGGAGCCAGAAATGGTTCTTCAAGCATTCTGAGACAGGGGATAAATATATTTAAATGTACGTTACAAGTTACACATATACATGGCATTCAACTGCTTTATTCTCTTAGGCAGTATCAAAGACAAAGTATAGAGGTCATCAATAAGAAATTAGAATAATAATGACAGATTGATCTGATGGGTATATTAATTATAATTTTATTTAATCATGACTATTTTAGTACCTGCTAACACAAATGCCCAAGTTTGTGCTTCCAAGTACCTGTAGTTCCAACAATTTCAAGTATTTTACCTGTCTCGTTAAAATCGTATATTTTTCTCATTATATAATTATTTTCAATTATTAAAAAATGAGCTAATAAAACATCTTCAGGTGACTTGTTAAGAATAGCATGATAGCTGGCCAGTATAGCTCAGTGGTTGAGTATACAGGCATGCACCAAGAGGTTCGATTCCCCGTCAGTGCACGTCAGGGCTGCGGGCTCAATCCCCAGTAGAGGTTGTGTAGGAGGCAGCTCATGGGTGTTTCTCTCTTATTGATTTTTCTAGCTCTCTCTCCCTCTCCCTTCCCTTCTCTTTAAAATAAATAAAAACATAAAGGAATAGCATGATATTATGTCAAGTTCTAAGACTAAAGGTCATAAGTATTATGTGAATTTAAAAATATTTTCATAGATTAAAAAATACTAATACAAAAACCATGTCTAGCCCGGTCAGCATGGCTCAATGGTTGAGCATCTACCTATGAAGCAGGAGGTCACAGTTCAATTCCTGGTCAGGGCACATGACCAGATTGCAAGCTCAGTCCTTAGTGTGGGATGTGCAGGAGGCAGCCAATCAATGATTATCTCTCATCATTGATGTTTCTATCTCTTTCTCCTTTTCCCTTCCTCTCTAAAATCAATAAATATATATATATATTTTAAAAAGCCATGTTTATATTTTCCTAAATTATTATAAAGTGTTATTTTAAGGCAAAAGTAAAAGCTGAAATACATAACAAAACACATTTTAAACACTTTACCACAGAGGAATTAAATGCATAAAAATGTGATGAGACCATTAAAAATTTTAGGAACTAGAATGAATATTTCTTTATTCTAAAAATTCCATTAGTGTCAGGTGTTTCCAGGTTGTTTTAAATACGATAGGAAAGCAGCACTTTGGACATTTCCTCTTTTAGACTAGCTTCCTTACTGCCAAGAAGCCATTAAAATAAAGGTATGTTTGATGACAGCCTATTGTATTTCCTGAATTTCTGATCTTTTCTACAGTCAGCCAGCTTTAGATGTAATAATTAAAAAACTGTATTTCCATGGTGATAACAAAAGATGAGCTACTGTTCCCTTGACTCACCTGGTCACTGTCTTTTGGGGCAATGTGAGGGATGCTTGTGGATGCAGAATATAACTACTGTTATGGTCGGCGAGAGCATCCAGTCTTGCAGTTGGTAAGTTTCTGTTGCTGGGTTTCTCTTCAGAGGCATCTTAACCACAATCACAAGAACAAAACAACATCACTATCTTGAATAAGACCATGAGAATGTAACTAACTAGAACTTTAATATCTGAAACAGGAAAGGGAAGATATGCTCTGAAGCTAAAGACAATAAACCTTACAATGCTTTACTGAGAATTTCTCTGATAAACTTGTTTACTTTCCAATTTTAATACTGACTACTAAAATTCTGTAATTAAGTTTTTGGAACTTATATTGAACATCTAGGATATAACAGTGGTAGAAATAATTGTTATACATATTTAGAGTCTGTATAATTTCCGATTATACATAATAGGAAAATGTAAAACTGACTTGTTTTTGTTTCTATACCATGTTTATTGTTTTCTGCAAACTATGTTTTTTTTCCTTAAGTTTTTGTTTTAAGAACTGTTAACAAAGACAAAGAATCATAAACATTAAGGTAAAAATATCTACCCTAAATAACTATGAACAAGCAACAGAAGAGTGTAACTATGATGTTAGAAAAGAGATTCAAATAGATGGAATGGCAAGGGAAGCAAAAGGAAGAGAATAGTGTTATCATTAAATAAGTGGAGAAAAAGTAAAATAAAAAGAAACTGGAAATACGAGTCTCCTTTCTGAAATTGAAGGAACAAAGAAAGAAGGAAAAGAGCAAAGAGGATGAAAAGAATCATTAAAAAAAGTAATAAGTGATATGACTAACAACAATACTGATAAAAATACATAAAAATACAAATGTAAAATCTTCTCCAGTAGCTATTAGCACTATATTCCTGTTATTGTTGGTATTATTACTGTTATCATAATTAAGAATTTATTTTATGCTCACTGGTCATTTGGGAGGAAGCAAGAGTCAACCAGCTTCATAGAATTCCAAAATGAAATAGACAGCTAACCTAGACAGGAGTTGAAAAATGAACTTAAAATTTATTTGGGCTAAGAAATTTTTTCTAATTATTCAGTTCACAACCTTACCCAAAGAAATCAATTTTAGCACTGACTTTCATGAGGTGATTTTTCTAAGTGTACATCTTTTTCTTTAAAACATTCTAAAATCCCCTATCTCCCATTATTACTCACCCTGAGGACTATTCATATCCACAAGCTGTCCCTGAGGTATAATCACTTGTGTCATTCCTGTCTGGGTAGATGGAATTACACGAAGCATCTGTCCATTTTCTGATGAGCTGGCAACAATCATCTTGGATTCATTAAAAAAGAAATCAAATGCATAAGCCTATACTAATTTAAGAGTTATGATTTAAATCATTAAAGACATGCCTGCCTCTTTGGTCGATACTATTATTTCCCTCATTTTATAGATGAAAACACTGAGATACATAAAAATTTTTCCAAAGTCTCAAACTGTTAACTGGTAAAGCTAGAATTCAAAACAGGAAGTTTGACCCTATGTCTTATGATCTTAACCACCTATGATCGTAGTCATTACACATGGGTGAGATCTAATGACTCAGTAATATGACAAGGCTCTGATTGTCATATTGTATGTCAAATGTATTAACTTTTTTATATTTATTGTCTTACCCATACATGTTTGTCCTATTTGTGTGGTAATCGTCTATATTTTAAGTCATTTTATTAGTTAAAAAAACAGTAACATTTTAGATGTCTAATTAAACAGTATTTGTTTTTATATCTCTGCATTTATATATGTCCTGTCTTGGTCTATAGGGAATACTACAAAGTTCCAAAAAATCTAAAAGCATAGAGAAAAGTATACATTATACTTTTTTTCAGGTTAATACTGAACCCATTGCCTTAAATTTAGAGGAATGTCAATGTGTGGGAGGCAACCAGTCAATGTGACTCTTGAATGTTTGATAAGAAATGCAAATTTTTAAATCTTCAAACACAAGTAGTAAAACTATATATATATACATATATATAGTTAGTCCTCACCAGAGAATATTTTCTCTAGAGAGTGTGGAAAGGAGGGGGTGGAGAGAGAGAGAGAGAAAGGGAGAGTGAGAGGGAGGGAGGGAGAGAGAAGAGAGACACATAGACTGGTTGCCCCCACAGCACCCCCACAATGCAAGTATGTGCCTTTAACCAGGAATCGAACCTACGACCCTTTGGTATGCGGGCTGACGCTCTAACCATTGAACACACTGGTTAGGGCTAAAACTCGTTCTTTATAAAATATACTCACCATTTGTGCATTAGAATCCTCCAATGACTGAAGTTCATATTGAATAGGTTGCCCATTTTGGTCCACTAGGTGAAATTGCTCTGCAGAAAGAGTCTGTGCCTGAGTCAGGGGCCCTGGTATATTCTGTGATGTGAGTGAATTATCTGCTTCATGAGTAGTGACGGGTAAAACTCTATCAGAACTATTTTGTCCAAAGGAAGGATCCCTGGAGTCGATACAGGTTGAATGCTTTGCAAAAAAATAATAAAATAAATAATCATTTGGATGTTTGTAAAACATAACAATTTTTTAAAAAAACATAATGTTTATAATAAAAATGAAGACTTTTTTTTCAGTTAACTATCCACTTTACACTGCAAAAGTTGTCAATTCACAGACTGATACAGACAGAAAGCAGTTCTTAAGTGAAATTGATTTTTATTATATTCAACCTCAAGTGATGAAATATAATTCAACATAAGGATTTCATGAGTATAAAATGTTATGAATATACAAAACTAAATATGATTGAATTGTGAAAAATAAAATGTTAAAATTCTTGAATACATTAAGTATAACGGTATTCCTTCAGCATAAAAAGTTGTTAAATGGCATGTTGTTTTCCCTTAGAATGGGAAAAAGTTCCCAGTTGAATCCCTATCTCAAATTACCTGAGAATCTGTTTTTGAATCTTCAGAATCATTATGGTTGACTATTAATGAATCATTAGACTGTTCCATGCTGACATCATATTCAATTCCATTTTCTTCTATTATTTAAGAGCTGAAAGAGTTCAAATATCTGATCAATTAAAGCCTTAATGTTTTTACATAATTTATGTCTAAATCAAATCACTCACTTCCCCTACTCTGTTACCCTATACAATTTAGGTTAAGTCATTCCCACTCTATAAATAATAAACATTTTCGTTAAATGATTTGCCAAGGCACCAGAATATATTCAAGGCAGGACATAGTGCTATGCAGTTCCTTCTTCCAATCTTTCCACTCACATACTGGCTTATTAAGATTGCTGTTATGTGGCATATATTGTTATACCCTTCAAATACTTCTAAAACTCTCATTTTACAAAGATTTAATAAAAGTAAAGCCTTTTAACTTTATGAGTTGGATGTACCATATTGTAGCATTAAATAATTTTAAAAAAGATCTCTTGGTATAGGTGATTAGGTATACAGAACTCTCACCATAATATACAATCAGTCGAGCTTTGAAAATAAAGAAGTATGTATTCCAAAGTTTGAGCTACTAAGGCCTAGTACAGTGATTTTCAACTGTGGTGATTTTGTCTCCTTACCCACTCCCCACCCCTCAAGGACATTCAGCAATGTCTGCAAACATTTTTGGTTGTCAGTATGGGGGCTGGGGAAGAGTGGAGGAGTGCTACTGGTATCTAATGGGATATTGCTAAAAATCTTAAAACGCACTGGACAGCCGCCACAACAAAAAGACCAATGTTGCTTAGGTTCACAAACTCTGACCTACTATATTGTAGTGAGTATAGGATTCTGTATTATCTAAACACACACACACACACACACACGTTTTATGTCTTAAAACTGGCGTAAGGTTAAAATGAAACTGGTAAAGAATACCATTGAAAATTTATAATATAAAGTAAATCTCATAGAATCTTTTTAAGAACCCACCATTTTATTTTATTTTTTAAAAGACAGCATACATTTTTTTAAATCATTAAAATTTTATTTTTTCAGTTAATATGTACTAAATTGAACTTTTCTATGTGTATATAATCTGTGGATTTTAATACACATGTCCATGTAATCACCACCACAATCAGGATACACAATAATTTCATCACCCTAAATCCTAATTTAAATTTATACCTTGCACTTTAGATTTATTTAGTAGTATACATATTTGAATACATTAAAAACATATTTTTCTGTGACAGTATATAAATATTCATTTATAAAATTAACCATTTTTAAAAAATCTACAAGGTTAGCCATTTCATATTTCCAAAATATTGTAACTATTCTACCTCAAATATAAATTGTAACAGGCTAAAAAGTCACTCTTATTTTTAATATATAACTATGAAATATCTTTAAATTGCTTCTCCTTTAAGATTTTAAATTACTTATATTATAATCTAATTTATTACCAAAATTCCAAAAAATTGTAGTTACCTCTCAAGCTATAAGAGAAAAAATTTATAACTTTCTCAGATTGGCTTACTTATTTGATCTCTTCAACAACCCTGTGATTCAGTTACTTTCTCCAATTTCCATATAAAAAATAAGACTCAGGCAATTACATAACTTTACCAAGATTACAAATACATTAAGTGGCCAAACACTCAAATCTACCTGTAGTGATCTCAAAGCCTACACTTCATTCTTATAATAGAAACTCTTTTGAGGTAACAAAGCTCCCTCCTTCCTTCATTAGTCCCTTTAAATATTTTTTTGATAGGTTAACAAATTAAAGATGCTAAAAGTTCTTTGTTCATTGCTCTCAACTTTTCCTTGGTTATAATTTAATTAGAGGCATTCCTAATACCCAAAAGCTCTCCAGCAAGAAATCTAAGATCTCTTACTTCACCAGAAAACTGAGCTCTAATTATGCAGGCATTGGCCACTGAGAAAACATCCTGTAAATAGATTCAAAGGTTAAAAACGACAAATAGCTAAGGGGCAAGAATTCTAAAAACTTACTCTTCTCTTCCTAAGGTGCCTGATCTTATTACAAATTATCCCTTCTGGCCTAAAATTTCTTTTCATTTATTTAATTTCTCTTACCCTAACTTAAATTTCATCAATGAAATTTATTTGAGAGAGAGGTAGGGAGAGGGAGAGAAATAATAATTTGTTGTTCTACTTATTTATGCATTCATTGGTTGCTTCTTGTATGTGTTCTGACTGGGATGGGACTAGCAACCTTGGTGTACAGGGATGACACTAACCAACTGAGCTACCCGGCCAGGGCTCATCAATGACATTTTCATTGGAGTTAATAAGCATTTTCTCTCAAAAAGAAAACTTTGGAACGAGTAGCAGTCATTAACAAATTTGTGTTAATTTACATAAAGATAGCTTTCTTCCTTTAAGTTAAAAACAGCTACCGTGAAAAGTTCGGAGGTGAGACAGCAAGTACATCTGAGGCACAGAGCACTAATTAAAAAAAAAAAGGGGGGTGGGGGTGGGGACTCAGCAGGCCTGAGCTAGATGCTGCAGTGAGGATGTAGGGCAGGATGAATGCCAGGAAGTGCACTCATAAAGCGGTGGGGATGATGTTAAAACTAGGAAGATTGCCAAACATAAACCACTTACTTCCGAACTTTGCCCAGACTGGGATTTTGCCAATGGAAGAAAGGTACCTTATTTTTCTCATGTCTTCTGGGACCTCAAAACTCAAAAATTTCCTTTCAGTATGTACTACAATATACCTATTCTGTGGGTTAGTATCACTTTTTCTGATTACACTGGGAAAATACTACTTAAAGTAGTTTCTATACGTAAAATTGGGTTTCAATATCTCTTGACCTAACCCACTCCTGAATTGGAAATTAAAAGTAAATTTTTAAGATACAGATAACCTTTTTTTCCATTGATTTTGTTGTTGATAATCCTCACCCGGACAGGGGTGGAGCTGGAACCTGCAACCCAGGTACATGCCACTGTTTTAAAAAATAACTTGAATGCAGTGTAAAGTATTACTCCTTCCTTCCCTAATCCTTCTAAGCAATGTGCATTGCCTTTTATCATGTCAAAGTAAAGGTTTTTTTAAAGAATGAAGATATTAATATCAAATATCTAGGTATAAAATGTTCTTTGCCAACAAGTAACCACAAGTAACCATAAACATAACAAAGTACCTATATAGAAAGTGTAATGCAGTGGTTCTCAACCTTCTGGCCCTTTAAATACAATTCCTCATGTTGTGACCCAACCATAAAATTATTTTCATTGCTACTTCATAACTGCAATATTGCTACTGTTATGAATCGTAATGTAAATATCTGATATGCAGGATGGTCTTAGGCGACCCCTGTGAAAGGGTCGTTTGACCGCCAAAGGGGTCGCGACCCACAGGTTGAGAACCGTTGGTGTAATGTGCCTTTTCCCTTAAGTCATAATAGACAATTGTGAACTTTTATGACAGCTGTTGCTTTCAATTAGTTAAAAATAAAATTATTACCTTCAGGAAGTAGCTCAAATTTAAATTCCAGGCCTCAAGCATCCTACTACCCCTCAAAATGCCCTCTTGTCCACTGAAGTTCATCCTTTCTGCAGCACTAAAATCATGACAGTAGTAGCTTCATTTATGAGATATAATTATGTCTTCATAGCAGCATTTTTTTTCTGTAAGAGAACATATTCAATGTTTATCTTATTTTCCTACATATAAAGAAAAATACTAGATTTTGTTATACAGATTTATTATAAAATAGCCATTGCAAGCCTGGTATAGTGGAACCATCAGTTAGACTCAATTGATAAGAACTGAAGGCTAGAACTGACTTCACTAGAACTGCCCTTGTCTTGTGGTAGGTGATCTAACTTCTGTTTCTTTATATAAAATCAGACGTTTGGACTTAGTTTTTGTTTCAACTCTCACATTCTAGAACTACTGAAACAAAGACCTCCGCAGCAGATTACATTTTTGTCCACAATAAAAATATTTACTAATGGAGCATAGCAACTTTTGAAGCTATAGAAGCTATAAAGCCCTCCTCCCCATACCCCTCTCCCAATAATATCCTGGAATTGATTTGACAAGCTTATTTCTTTTTTTTTTTAAAATATATTTTATTGATTTTTTTACAGAGAGGAATGGAGAGAGATAGAGAGTTAGAAACATCGATCAGCTGCCTCCTGCACATCTCCTACTGGGGATGTGTCCGCAACCAAGGTACATGCCCTTGACCGGAATCGAACCTGGGACCTTTCAGTCCACAGGCCGACGCTCTATCCACTGAGCCAAACCGGTTTCGGCACAAGCTTATTTCTTAATCAAGTAGTATTGGGCTTGGATAAGAGAACAGAAAAGAGAAAGTATTAAATATATACTATATGTAGTTAATGACTGGACTTCAGAACACACACTAAGGCATTAAATTCTGCTGGCAAATTGCTTTCTAAAATGTTTCACATTACATTAAAAAAGTGGATAGATTAGGAAGAAAGTGTTGTTAGAAGTTGTTTTAATTTATAGGGAAAGGGGCTTTTTGTTGTTTATACATATTTCATACATGGCAGAGGGGAAGTGACTATTCAGGCTACAGTCACTCATATCTGGACCATGTTTGGGCTACTGCTGTTTTGATTTTACTCAACTGCATTTCTATTTGTTCAAAAATTTAGAGGCAATTCTCAGCTGCAATTTCTAAAAATCTGTCTTAATATCAAATTATTCTGTTTTTTTTTTGCCCATAGGCTTTTGTGTAAATTTATCCATTAAAATCAACAGTCTGAAATAAATCCCCAAAGAGGTCAGGCTAAAGAATAAAGCCACTTGAGGTTTACTCTTAAGAGTTTCTTTTAATTCTATGTATCTTGATTAGTCTCAAGATTTAAAGGATCTTGAAAGCTATTAAATATCAGTATCAGATCTTATTAACTACATCTTAAAAATATTGCTCAAGCCCTGACCGGTTTGGCTCAATGGATAGAGCGTTGGCCTGCGGACTGAAGGGACCCAGGTTCGATTCCAGTCAAGGGCATGTACCTTGGTTGCGGGCACATCCCCAATAGGGGGTGTGCAGGAGGCAGCTGATCGATGTTTCTCTCTCATCGATGTTTCTAACTCTCTATTCCTCTCCCTTCCTCTCTGTAAAAAAAAATCAATAAAAATATATTTTAAAAAATATTGCTCAAAAGTACTTTAGAAAATATCTTTCATCTTTTAGGGTAGGTAAATGACATAATGTACCTTTTATGATCTATACAAAATTAATATGAATCAGTGGTGTCAAAATTAAATCGAGACTACTAGTTCACAAATATTTTATAGAATAATTTAATTTTTTAAAGGTGGGTGAAAGTTATAGCATGCTAAATCAACGTCAAAAATTTAAATGTATGCAAATTTATATAGAAACCATAACATATTTTAACTTCTTTTTTTCAGTGAAAAAAAGTTTAAGGCTAGTATTCAGTGTCTCTTTTATCTAAGATTTGTTCTTCCTATAAATTTCCTTGTAATCTTGGTTTCTATCCATTTCCCGTATATACACACCTCTTCTTACCTCTTTGCTCTTTGAGAACTTCACAAATTATTTCATATAATCCTCACAATGACTCTGAGGTAGATTTTATTACCTCTATTTATATGTAAGAAAACCAAAGCTCTCAAGTAACTTCCTTAAGATCACAGAGAGCATTAGGGCTCAGATTCAAAACTAAGAGGAAAAAAACAAAAACCCAGAACAATTTGGACTCCAAAGCCCTAACTGTCTTTATACCATAACACATCATATCATCATATACATTAAAAAACAAACACCCTATACTAAAAAAAAAAACACACCAAACATATTCCAAGCTGTTGTTCCCCAAATAACAATATGTCTTCATGAGGACCGTAGTAAATGAATCATGTAGGAAATCATTAAGAACCAAAAACTTGCAGTTAATATTCTAAGTAAACAAGGAAAACACTCAAAGAAAAAAACACTAACTACCTTAGGTATTGCATGGAGACAACACCAAATATAAGACATGTCACTGCTGAAAACATACCAAAGCTATCATACTAGGTGTTTACTTAACTTTTGGAATACCTGTTAACTAGTTTTTCCTTAAAGTTCTCAGTCAAATGAAAAATGTATTTTAGTGAATTCAATATTTCTGCATTGACAATTGAAGTTTTATCTCATTAAGCCTTCAGGTTCTGTATCTTATTTTTTACACATATATATTTTTTCATTGATTTCAGAGAGGGAGAGAGAAATAAAAACATCAATGATGAGAGGGAATCACTGATTGCTGCCTCCTGCAGCCCCCCTAGTGGGGATTGAGCCCACAATCCCCGCATGTGCCCTTGACCAGAATCAAAACATGAACTCCTGGTTCATAGGTCTACGCTCAACCACTGAACCACCCGGCCAGAGTTTCTGGTACTTTTCATTCAAATTAAGAGCAACCTATATTGACTCTTACCAGGTACTATATATTTTTTTATTTTGATAAACTTAAATCAATGATACTTTAAAATGTATTAATCTACTGATTAACTATGCTTTTAAAGGTATTTTGAGCAATAAGATATCAATAATTTTAAAATTATCTGAAAAATAACTTTTTTGAAGATTTGAGGTTCAATGACATTGAATTCAGGTAACTTTAACTGATGTAACTCAAAAATCACTTATGGTTAAAGAAGAATGATGTTTAAAACTGTCAAACTTCTACCCACTGCCACCAAATGAATGACTTAAACAGGGAGACCTCAATTAAGCTACTGTTTCAAGCCTCAGGCGGTCTGGCTTCTTCAAGGAATGCCATTCTCACCATGACAATGAGTCGCATGATGAATTGACCACCGCTTTAGTTGCCAGCCCCGTCCTTTCCTAGGACTTCCGCACAGAGGTTTTATTTATTCCTCTTACCATGAGGCGATTCCTACTTGTTCACGTTGGCAGAGCGAGTGTGATTGGCATCTAAATGACAACGACGGTAACCATGGCTAACACTTCCTAGGCGCATTTAGTTCTTACAGCCGGCCGGGTGTGGCACAGAGGTGCATACGTACGGGGGTGAGCCAAGGGGGGCGGACAGTGGTCTGCAAGGACCCAGCATGCACGTCGGGAGCATCCCAACAGCTTCAGCGGCTTCGCACCGTCGCAGCTGTGAACCTACTTTCGCCCCCGCCCCAAGCAGCCGCGGCGGCGTCAGGACCCAGGAACGCGGTTCCCAAACAGCCCTCGGGTCGCCGTCACTGCCCGCCAGTAACAGTTTGGTTCTCGCTTGCAATCACTTCTCATATTCTATCGGACGCCCATCTAACTAAAGTGCATCTTTAAGTAACTTTTTTTTTTTTTTAAGGAGAGCTTTAGTTGTCTTCACCTGTGCACACACCGCTCGGCCCCCAAATTTTGCAATCCAGCTCTGCCCGATGCTGGCCTGCTGTTTCTTGGAGCTTTCCTGGCGGACGCCTCAAAAAGCGACTGAAATTTCAATAGTAGAGGATCTCTCCACCCACCCATCCTCCAAAAACAGCTACATTTAATTAGAATAATTCTCGGTCACTGACGATAAGACATGAGCCTTCTGGGTAACTTAGACCCCAAAAATAAAAAAGCGGAGGAGGTGGTGAGGGAAGACGCTTTTCCCCTTTTAAATATGAGATATAAAGGGGCTCATAAAAACCCCGAACCCTAAAAACCGGGACAAGGGGCTGCGCGGAGGGCCACACACGGGGCCCTTCCCCGCGGCGGCGGCACGTCCTCGGCTCAGCGAC